TTGGAATTTTAGTTCCAAGTTAACATGATTTCTTATCCGCTTCATAAGTCATGCATCTGCTTAATTAGGTGATAAGTAGGGCTATTGTGGGGTTTGTTTAAACTCCAGCATAAGGAATTCTTGTTTAAGAAAAAAGACTTTTGGCTTGTTTAATTACAAATTGATTGCAACATCGTGTTAGTATGTGATTTCTCACATCTGGTTGTAATATTTGTGAAGACGTGCATTGCACGTGCACTTGGAAGCGGGCCCGTGGCCCGCGCCGGACGGCGCCGACACTGACCCGGGCCACCTCCTCCACGTATTCTTGGAGCTGTGGCTGGCCGATTTACATGAAATTAATTCCCTCAGTTCTGGTGGCAAATCTAATACACATAATCCATATTGTTATGCACTAGCGTGTGTGTGTGAAATAGATGGATTATGGTCCCGTACCCAATATGATGGATATGTGTGTGTGTTAGAGAGAGGGAGAGGGGGAGAGAGAGTGAGGAAGAGGGAGGGAGTGTGTGTGTGAGGATTTGATGGTAAAAAAGGTCGCCAATGTCGTAATATTGAACTCTTTAAGTTAACGTGGCACCGTTGCAACGCACGGACGTTCTTCTAGTAACAAGTAGAAGAGGAATCGTACGTGGATGCTGCATATAGGCCCCGGTCAGCGTCATCTTCATTCCGTGTGGGCAGGGCAGGGCACCTACCCTGATTAGCGGCCGGCGATCGAGCCCCGCCGTCCTCCGTCTTCAGAAACGACCGTGACATCGTAGCGGAGCACATGCATGTAGGATACGCATACACTTGTGTACGTACGTACCGTACCGAGAGATCATCGGCGGCGAAGATCGATCGTCAGTAGCACGTACCCGACACCATATTGATCTTCCCAGTTAATTCGACACCATTTATGGTGACTATATCGTCGTGCGATCTACTCAGCTGGGTACGGACGGGAAGATTATAACTCACCGTGCCAGCATATAGTATAGGTATCTACTCCCTCTCCAAAGAAATGTAAGATCGTTTAGATCATTGAAAGTAGCGAGCAGAGCGACTAAACTTATTTCCACCCTTATAAGTTGTATATATGATGATCGATCGAGCAGCGGCGTGGCGAGGGAATATTAGGTGAGGAAAGAGAGCAATACATCATTCAGAGCCACGCGTTCTACCTATCCACACCTCCCTCCGTATGCATGCATGTTGCATGTGCCAACACGGAGAGTCGATGATCAAAAAGAAAACAATCAATCATACGGCGACGGCGACGGCGATGACGACGACGATGATGATGATGATGATATGGTCGCCGGATTCAAAGACCAGATGGACGGGCACGGACGCACGCAGTGTGGATGGAAGGGAAGGGCACGGCCGCACGGAATCGGAAGCTTCACGTCGTCCTCCTCCTCCACCAACACGTAGTACGTTTTGTGCGCTCGAATTGTCCGTCACTTGTGCCAAAACCATAGTAGGGCAATGCAATGCCAGCTACTTTGTTTAATTGAGTGGTTGTTGGCAGATGGACTAGTGGTCCAAGTTAAGGACAACTCAGAGAGAGACCATACACTAGACTGACAGAGAGGGGAGCTGGCTGGCCATGTTTGTAAATCAAGGACGACGGACGTCTCCTAATTCCCGACGCCACAAATGGACGCGCGGAAGCACATGCCACGATGCCAGATGCAGCACGTACACCGATCGAATGCACAAGCTTAGACGTTTCACAACCATATCCAATGATACAATCCTAATCAACGTGGAAAACCGGAGAATGGTTGCCAGTAGACGGGAGACCCACAACATGCATGCATACCTGCTCAAATTCAAATGCGAAATGGCGGAATATATTTATGTACAATTGAATAAGGCTTCAATAATCTTTTGGGCATGCGAGGTTCATGGGGGATGCAGCTCAAGGGGTGAACATATATACATACATATATGGTAAATAAAGCAGAGAAGGTGAACTCTGGTAAGATGTTCCAGTATGGAAATCTGAAGGATGCGTAGGAGGAAATGATCACAGAAGAAGGTAAAAAAAAAAACTGGCAGTGAAATAGCTAGCCTGCTGGGGAGGAGGCAGACAAACCTGCCGTCCATGTCATGCTCACACTAGGCTAGGGCTAGGCCAGGGACTCTAAACCAACCCTCATTCACCTGAGTTAATTAGTTGAGGAAAAGAGATGGGCTGATACAGAACCTACTCTGTACTTTCTCAAAAGTGAAAAGGCATGTGTTTTCAAATGATTTGGCAAAAAGTATTCCAAAGCTTCCTTGGACCAACGAATCCTAACGGCACAAAATTGACAGCCAGCCAAACTAGTAGCTAGTCATTTGGTAATCATCAGGTCTTCACATCCCCTTGGCATATCTTGTGTCGTATGCGAGCACTACAAATTATTCCCACGTGCCTACCATCGTTCATCAGCCAGGTTTAAGAGCATCCTCAACTGCACAATGTTATGTACTTTTTCTTTCTTTCTTTCTAATGCTATGCTATTAACTTCTGATAGTAAAATTAAGCATGGTGTAAAGTTGTAGGCAGGAAGAATCCATCTGATTACGCCTGTTTGCCACCCGGTTTATACCACCGAAACCAAGTTTATTAAACAGGAAGAGACAATATTCTCCCAAAGAATAAGAATAAGTTCTACCATTGCAAGAAAACAAAAAAAACAACTGTGTTCCCGTGATAGCTCTATGACCTAGTCCATTAGCTGTGACGATATTACCACGAAACGACCAGAAAGATATCTATCGCCTTTTTTCCAGCAAATCCCTATCTGATATCTACTCTCTGAGTACAACCAAAAACATCATGCGTTGCTAGACCCACACACTGATTTTCATAGCTCTGCTGTCAACGTCTAGATCCAGAATTAAGTGCAGATTATATGTGACGCTCCCTGCAGCACGCATGCTGGAGCACAGGAAGCCTTACGATAATGCTGGATTGAGATTTGGTTGGCTCCGATAGGTTGATGACCTGCTCAACTCAACAGCATAGAAAATGACTCCCTGACCAACCGAGGCCACGGCAATATATCCCCCTAGTTCCTATTATGAGATCCACAGAGTTTGAACCTTCCTACAGAAGCATTCAGAAAATAACGTTACTGTGCAGCATGCAATGAATAAATTGTGACCGAGAAGCAGAGCTGAGAGACCCAAAATAAAGCTGGTACTACGCAGTGAATAATAACGTTCATCTGTAGGTACATTTAAGTAAAGAAAAGCAAACCATTTTTTGGGGCTGCAGAGAACTGAACCAAGCATAAAAAAAAAGGGCAACCTGGTGCATGTAGCTCCCGCTTGCGCAGGGTCCAGGGAAGGGTCCGACCACTTTGGGTCTATAGTACGCAGCCTTTCCCTACATTTCTGTAAGAGGCTGTTTCCAGGACTTGAACCCATGACCTCATGGTCACAAGGCAGCAGCTTTACCACTGCGCCAAGGCTCCCCTTCAGAGAACTGAACCAAGCATATCGGACAAAAAGGAAGAGCATTAGAAAGTGCTGCAGCCACAAAGTTTGTGGCGGCTTTTTTCTTATAGTTTACATATAGATTCTCATCCATAATGTCATCATAAAGGCAATAAAGCAGAATTCTGGGAATTAGTTTATGTACATTAAGCTCCAGGGTCTTACAAATAGTTGATGGAAAGGCGCATCATCGTTATTCCAAGACAAAATGAAAAGTTATCGCTTCATTAGTGGGGATCATACATGTATTCCTCAGAGAACCAAACAGAATAATCCTACCTAAAAAGGATGGATATGAAGGGACTAGAATAATGAGAGCAGGTAGGGTGCTGGTATATACTAGCATAACAATATTGATTTACGATTCCACTACACTGGCACCAGGTGAAAAATTCAACTAGTTTGTGCTAAAGAAGAAAACTTTTGCACTGTATAATTTGGATAACATTTGATTCGAAGCAAAATCAAAGCACACTCACAGGAAATAAGGGATAAAAAATGGAAGGAGAAGAAGTTTGGAAACTGATGGTATATGTTAGTACTGTAATCACCACTCAACCTAAAGCTAAACACTCCCAGATATCTACAAGCCTATCCATCCGGTCAACATGGGTCTAACAATTATTGAGTGGACCACTAGTGGCCAATATCCTCATACTCCTGCTATAGTGCATTATTAAGAAAGAGGATATGGTGACGATGTACACCATAAATGGTCCCTACCAACTGAAAATGAGCAGAGGATAATATAGAAAACCAAATATTTTCTGCTAAACTTGCCATGAGTGAGTTGTAGTTTCTGAAAAATAAGAGTACATTCGACTCATTTGCAAATACATACTACATTTTTCAGCCACAACGGATACCTTATTACTAGCTAACCATGAGGGTCATGTATGGGGGCTTTTGAAAATGTTTAAGAATTTCCTTGCATCCATGGATCTAGATTGAAACTTTATTATTCTGCTAGTATCCTTTTGTTTTGATAGGAGTTAAACCAAACTTGAGAACTTTCTATTGCAGAATATACTGCAGAGCAACACCTCATAAGGTCAGGTATCTCACATCAGTTTACAGGTAGATTATGCAGTTAACAACCTTATATTTTATACATTTCTTCAAAATGAAAATATGAAAACTTGGTCTGAACCTCAAGCCTTGGAGAAACAATGAAAGATTTCGTAACTCCAACGTTAACATGCAGTGAATGTAGACAGCAACCAGGAGCAAGGGCCAAAGAGAATATCAGATTTACTGAAGTCAAAAGGTAAATTTGCTAAAAAAAATATATAATGCTCAGCTGAGAAAATTTAGCCATTGTAGAGAACTTGTAGCGGAGTGGAAAAAACATTCAGGTCGGAACACTCGTAATATTGTGATCATCACAACTGCCACCGCCACCGCCACCACCTCATCATCATTATAATCTAACTATAGCACTCCCATAGCACATATACAATTGACAGGAAGCTTCTAACTTACCATTAATTAGAATGCTTAGTGCAATCAGTGTCCCAGTTCACCTATTGTGGTATCTTCTTTGCAAATAGATTACCAAGTGTTTGTTCAAGTGCTTCTGGAGTGTACTTCATATATTTCGAAGCATGATGGCTGTTCTCGACAAGAGGCCTGGATGATAAATAAAAGAGTAATCACATCAATAATACGACTTGAGTTTATAGGTTAGAGAAACTTGCATGATTCGCATTTAGTAATGAAACCTAGCAATGTGTGCTCTGTGCTTTGCAACGGAACTGGGCAATGTGTACTAGTAACCAGATTTAGGAAGATATGCTGAGGATGTACATTATCCACGTGCGCTAAAAAAAATCTACCTGATTCACATGATACCTCTGTCCATAGAACTAAATGGTTTTATAATCAAACAATCCAAAATTTTTAAAAACTAGATCCAGTCCCCCCCTCCCCAATAGAGCATGATCCACTAATACTGCTGAGGCAAGCATTATCAAAGCCTAGCTAGCACGCCAACTGGTATTGTGTTTGTTGTGCAAAGCAAATAATGATGCTAGTGGTGTTGACCAACGACTCGATCATTCACCACAACAGTATGCCAAGAATGGTTATGATATTTACTTGGTATATGAACTGCAATCCATCATTAAAGATGGACAGCTCGACTAAACAATAGCGAAAATACTTGTATCATTCCCACTTGATACAATTGCACCTGTAGGAAGAGAAAATAAGAACACTGGCCAGTTGCTATTCAAAATTTTGCACCCAAAAATTTATTAACCTCATTCATGATTAGCAAGGAAAAATCTAATAACACATCGCGATGAAAAGAAAGCAGAAGATAATCGAGCAAGATAGGAAAAATACCCAAAGCGTTTCAGGAAAGATCTATAAGCAGGTAACAGAATTTCAGCAACCGCAAGGATAAGATTATCGCGTAACTCGTTATCGGGAATAGCCCAGTTCATCTGAGTCTGACAAACCTCTTCAAATTGCTTGTTGAAAGACTTGAATCTGATAATATTGGAAAGCAACACCATAAGAAATAGCAAGAAAAAAACACCAAAATAAACAGATTAAAGTACACATCGCATTGAAAGTTAGTTCTAACCTCGCCTTGATCACAGATGTGGAAGTTGTACTGCTGTGAGATCCGATACTTCCAACACTTCCTGCAATACCTTCTGTAGCAGAACCTACTGATGAAGTTAAACCTTGAGCTGAGAGACAATCCAATACCTGCAGTTAATTAAAAAGAGAAGGAAAGGGCAAATAGGTAAACAAACATGTTAATGGAAACTGGACGATATGTGGGCATGCATTGTGCTGCCAAATTTGAGCTTTTGACCATCGGACCTTTCCCCAAGCAACTCTTTTGTACTGAGTAGCATGTTGCTGCACAGTCCTTCGGCGTCTTTGAATCCAATCATCACCAACTAAATCCTTGGCTTCTGAACTGAGAACAAGAAAATGATTATTCCATCCAATTAATGAGATCTCAATTTCTTGTGTTTCTCTCATTGTATGCTTTGTATATACCTGCGGATAGATCTGACGATATAGTTGATGTTATTCATTAAGAACAGAATTCCCAGGGCATGATCCTTGTATTGCTTTGCTTTTACATCTAGGTTGGTCTCTACGGCATGTATAATGCCAGAGATTTCAGAGACCAGACCAGACTTTGTTCCGTCTCCATTGCTGGATTCTTGAAAGATCAGCTTTAGTGATGACAGATAGCTGCATAAAATTTATATAGGTCTTAAGAAGGAATATTGTTGTTAATGGTAATGCACTGCATTTGTGTTGGAGGACATGTTGAAGAAATATATTCAATGCAGCATATTTCACTTACTCCATAAGATATTTGATATAGTTTCCAACATAGCTGGTAAGAGGATGCACATCTCCATCAGTACTCGTATTCTTAGGCGACTCCTTCACAATGCTGTCTTTGAAGTCAATGAGAGTCTTTTTTGCTGCTTGTGCTAAACATTTGACCAAAGTACTTGCAGATTTCCGGTTTTCAGCGCATTCATCTCCTGCAAAGACTGCCTCAACCTAACAATAGCCAAGAAATGAAAATACACATTCAAATAGCATGTAAATGCTGCCACGCCACACACACACACACATGCAGTACTATATAGAAATAGGGGCATATGCATTATCAAACCCGAAAAAATAAGTGTCACTGTTATTTCATCAAGTACAATGTCAAATTGCTCAGTCACTGCAGTGAACATACCATGATAGACAGCGAGCAACAGACAACTTAAATTCACCGCAAATATAGTATACACCATTTTAACTGAAGAAATAAGGCCATGCATATATGAACCAGAGTCGTGGTATTTGCACCTTTAGACTGCACCTAGCCACCTACAATCCCATAATTCAAATGTATGTCGTTCGCCAACCTAAATCTGTGACTACCTATCTGAATATTTTCTACATCCAATTCACCATATATGGATTGGCTTGAAAACGGCAATTTTCTTTAAATTAGCATAGGTATTTGGTGTGTATTAGAGAGCGTATGTTTTCTTTGTAAAGGTCTAAGTGTAATATTGTCAGAGAGATAAAGGATGTATGGTCCAAAGGGACATTCTTAATTATTGCCAAAAAAACTATCTACATCGTTTGCAGTGCATGTAATAAGCATCACAGAAAAAAATGGAAATAGATGCACAATACGAGCATTCTGTTAGGGAACAGCAATTAGTCTAGGTATGTTACGTACAAATAGTGTCATTCACAGCATTTGCGGCAATAGACAAATGGACTACAGGTGGCTGAAACTTCACCTCAGATTGAAGTTCCAATGTTCGGTCAAACATATCTAGCAGCAAAAATACTTTGTCTGGTGATGTCTTAGATTTAGAAATAGCTTGTCCGAAGCTGAGTAGATTCAAGAGGCTTTTGGATGTTGCTGCAGCAAAGCAATGGTCTTTCCATGCATGCTTCCCTTCAAAAATTTGATCACACAGTGCGCGTTCACTAGGAAAAAGCAATTTTACCTGTTGAACAAATAGTCAGCTATTATTAGCAAACATCATTTTACAGTCCAAGCCTTATGTGGTCAAAAGTCAAGAGCCTCACCGCAATCTGCAAACATCGGATCCAGTGAGTAATTTTAGCGTTCCGGCTCTCAGCCTGCGCAGTCTGTACTTCTTCTGCCGTAACATATTCAACTCCCAACTGCTTAAGGGTCAGTTCCAAAGTTGAACTGCGAGTATCTCTGGAAGAATGAAGGAAAATGTCATGGGCAAGCAAATCATGAAATATAATGGTAACACCGCACTGCAAGCATGTCAGGCAATTTGAAACTTGTAGAAGCTTGCACCTGTATATTTTCACAAACTGTTTATGGCAACCAAGTTGGAGTGATTTCTGAGCTAACTTTGAGAGCCGAGGCACGTAGCGTGGCTCAATGAGCGTAGGAAGAGAGAGCACGGCACCCGGATTTGGCTGACTTTCAGCAGAATCTTTCGCTGATGAACGGCTTGGAAGACATTTGAGAAGTTGCTCAAGCTCTACCGGTTTGCTATAACCAATCATCCAAAATAGAGTGGTTAGTTCCCCGTGAGATCATGTATACATACACAAGTGAGAAGTATGGGCCTAAGCAAACGGGCAAACTGAACCTGCATTCTGATAGCACCCTACTGAATTCATTCTCCAACTCAGCAGCTGCCTTGTGAAGCAATTCATCGACACGTTTGAGCGCGTCGTCACCGGCTTTACCGATTCTATTTGAAGTGAAGAAGTCCTCAGCACTTTTTAATTTATCAACCGTGTCGAGATAGCCAGTAAGACCCTTGCTCGCACTTTCCAATATCACTGACTCTGCCTGTACAAATGAAGTTCAGTGAAACATTACCATGATCTGGCAGCATGACAGTGACAATACACTCCCGCATCAATGAAAAGCCCACGGGGAAAGTGACCCCTGTTTCTCTAAAATAAAAGGACCAGTTCTGCTCAGTTAATACAGTAGTATGTTAGACCACGCATACAGAAGGAGCAGCATCAGTGGAAATCGTCCACCAAATGTTCCACCATAACCAAACAAAGTCTAAGACTAAGACTAGATCCTATCACAAATTCAAGACAAGGATGCGCCGACCGTGCCCGACCTGTCGAATTTCTGGTCTTCTGCAGGAATGGGCAGTTGTCAGTTAACCATGACATTGCAGCACTCCATTTTGGCGTAGTGCACGCTCGCATTGCAGCAGTTGCAACGCATACGCTAGATTCAGAGCCCACTGACGACTCGAGAGGTCAGGCGGGCACGCCGCCGCACTCGAAACCGCGAGCAAAATCGCTATGCACTACGGCGGCCGGCGAGAGGCGCAGAGAGACGCAAACCTAGAGAAGCAGGAGCGGAAGCACGACTTCGGTGGCTCCCTCGCATCCCGAACGCCGCCGCGCTCCTCGGGAGGACGCCACCCCGCCGGAGCAGGGGCGGGATCTTCACCGGCTCCGATCCATCTGGTGAATGGGCGCCGGCCACCGCCGCGCCGGGGCCGGTGGGGAGATAGGAAACAGATCGCGCATTCGGCCCAGCACGACGCACTGGGACGGCCTCGCGACGGCAGCGTCGGCCCGACACATACCTGGGCCTCGCGCCGAGTAACACCAGTATTGGGCCGGCCCAAGCCAGGAGATTCGCGTCGGAAATTGCGTGTCCGTGCCGTGCCCGTCGAACCGATCAAACGACGCGGAGGACTCTGTTGGACCACGACTAGTCGGCCGATGCTCTCCCCTCCGGTCTAGAAGCAGACACGCAGACGGAATCGCCATTGCCGCCGCCGCCGTCGTCTGCAGGACGACGGCCGGCGGCGAGCAAATCGATCAAAGCAAGGCGGACGAACCAACGAACGTACCTCGCGCACGGCGTCGAGGTGCCGCACGACGGCCTCCACGGCGCGGAGGCTCCTGGCGACGTTGTCGTGGGCACTGTACGCGCTCCACGTCCTCGCCTGCAGACGACACAGAGAACGGCGAGCCATGTGATCGATCGAGCCGAGCGGCGTGTACGGCGAGACGAGGGGGGAGCTAATGAATTCGGAACCTGGGCGGGGCGCACGGCCTCGTCGACGGCGGCCATGCGGCGGCCGATGGAGTCGACCGCCGCGGCCGACCCCTCGCGCACCGCCTCGCTCCTACGCATCGACTCCCGCAGCAGACTCGCTTTCTCGCGCAGCAGCGCCGTCTCCGCCGCCGCCGCACGCTCCATGTCTCTGTCTGTAGTTGTCGACCGCGGTTGATTGAAGAAGAAGTAAAAAGGGAAAACAAGCAGAGGAAAATATATGTAGTAGCAGAGATAATCGAGGAGGAGTTTTTCTCTTGGTCTCGCGCGCCCCCTTCCTCTCAGACTCTTACATATCTCCTTTTTTGAGAGCATAAATAAACCGCCCCTCTTGCTCTACACAAAATCTTCATTGTTGCGTCGTAGTAATTGAAATATAATATTTAATCTAATTTCTAAAAATGGAATCTGAAACAAATATTTCAAATTCAATGTTTTCCATTATTTCTCTCGCTAAATCTTATTGCACTTACGATTCCGCAACCGCGTGCCATCGATGCGCTTAGTGCCATCGGTTTCCACGTGCCTTTCACGTGCATTTGGTTTCCAGCGGTGCTGCCTGTTGGATGTTTCAATGTAATTAAAGCATTTACCGATACGATGCTTATCATTATCCATAAGACTTTATTTTGCCAACGTTCTCACGGTTGTGCCCAAGCGGTGCACGCATCACCATCGGTTTTTCTAGCACAACTTTCACGCGCATGAGATTGCCAGCGGTGTTGATTGTTGGGCATTTCATTTATAATTAAAGCAAATAATAGTACCATATTTATCAATTATCATTATATTCGGTAACATCTTACTGTGCTAGCGTTTTTGTGACTGCGCATTGGTGACACGCTTAGCGCCATCGGTTTGCCCCTCACAACTTCCACAGGCATGTGGTTGGCCAGCCGTGCTACCCGCTAGGTGTTTCAATTATAATTAAAGCACACGTCAATGCAATATTCACAACTATATTTGGTATAACAAATGCGCTAGGCAATTGTGTCCTAATGGCGCACTTAGCGCCCTTGGTTTGTATGCATGGTCGTATATTGAGATGGAACCTTTTTCATGCATGGCTGTATATTGAGATGGACTTATTTTCATGCATGATGCATGCTTAGGTGACATGCTTGCATGTTGAGAGAAATATCTTACTAAGGGCTACCTATTTACCTATAGAAGATTATCGTCTAGAAAGTCTATCAATAAACATTCTAATGACACGCTAGATTTCTTCCTAATTTTCACATGCCTAAACATAATTATAAAATGCCATCAGGATATTTTTCAAACCATATGCTTTAGATATCTACCAAGATCTTTAAGGCTACACATAGAGATGTATACACTATAATAATGCGAGTGTAACAAATTAACCGTGAAAACATGTAATTTTGTTTTTTCTCACATTTATGGGGATTAAGTATAAATATTTTTAAGCTTCAGTCTCTACAAAAACAACCAATGTAACATTCATTACAAAAATGGCTGAAATTTAGCACAATGCATACACATTATTGAACGGTAGACATTATATATGTATTGTAAATAAAACTATTTTTATATTGTGTAAGATTATCATCTAGTTATTTATCCCAAATAAGTTAACAAAGGATATTAGCTACTATGATTGTAATTTCATACAGTGGGTTATAAATAATTAAAAAAGTTTAGTATAAATATTTAATTTATTTCTCTTTACAACCAAATTTTGTTAGATCCGATTGTTTTTTGATAGGTCATTTTTATATGTTATTATTCAAAAACTATACACATACAGATTTTACTTAATAATGGGAGTGTAAAATAAAGAAATTACAATTAAATCAAAACCAAATATAAGAAAAATAAATCAGTGTATTGATAAGAGATTGGACTCAATTATATTTTTTCTCACGCGCCCATTTATTAAGTTTTTATTTAATTTATTGTCTTTTCTAGTATTTCATAAATAAATGAAATATTTTTTTTCTCGGATGCGCAACGAGTCCTACGACAGACTCGGATTCTCACACCGCGGTGCTACCTCCGCTGTCGCCGCTATCTGACCCTCTTTTATGTCGTCGCACTCATCTTACTAAACCCGCCAACATCGGTATAAATTAGTTTAGACATTCATATATTATTGTAAAGTATCAAGATTCAAACATGTATTAGAAGAAAATGAAAAAGACTAGCGCAACTAGATGGTAATAAGATTACATCTCACCCTCATCCTTCGCTAATCATAATTACACAGGTGACATGTTACATTTTCGCCATCCTGACGATGGTTGTTGACTTGATTCAGGTCACATGGAAGTATTCAAATATATACATGCATAGGAAAGGTCATGAGAATTTGGTGGTGCAAACAATTACTAGGACACATAGAAAAATATTACCTCCGTTCCGAAATACTTATCTTAGATTTGTCTAAATATGATGTATCTAAGACAAGTAATTAAGGATGAAGAGTGTAATAATACCAATGTCTTCTATTCTCAGACAATGAATCTCTATTTTGTTTGGGGTGTACAAAAAATACATATTTGGCATCAAATTCTAAAGAATGTGTATTTGGGTAACATTTGTTTGAATCTTTAAATCTTTCATGAACACGCAAAAAGAAGTTTAAAATCTTTCACACTAAACTTTACAGTATATGTTTTGGTAACATTTATTTGTAGTTTTTTTTAGCATCTCTTCCAATGTGTCATTTTTCTATACGCATCAACAGACCACTAATAACCCACAAGTATAGGGGATCGCAACAGTTTTCGAGGGTAGAGTATTCAACTCAAATTTATAGATTCGACACAAGGGGAGCCAAAGAATATTTGAAGATATTAGCAGCTGAGTTGTCAATTCAACCACACCTGGAGATTAATTATCTGCTGCAATATGATCAGTAGCAAAGTAGTTTGATAGTTTTGATAGTAGTGACAGCAGCAATATTAACAGTAACAGTGATAGCAGTAATTTTGTAGCAAGTGTAACAGTGATAATAGCAATAGTAACGTAGCAAGATCAATAAGGATAAATTCGCAGGCATTGGATCGGCGACTTGTTGGATGATATTCATCATGTGACAGTTATAACCTAGGGTGATACGGCACTAGCTCCAGTTCATCGATATAATGTAGGCATGTATTCCGTAAATAGTCATACGTGCTTTATTAAAACAACTTGCATGGTATCTTTTGTCCTACCCTCCCGTGGCAGCGGGGTCCATATTGGAAACTAAGGGATATTAAGGCCTCCTTTTAATAGAGAACCGGAACAAAGCATTAACACATAGTGAATACATGAACTCCTCAAACTACGGTCATCACCGGAAGTGGGCCCGGTTGTTGTCACTCCGGGGTTGCCGGATCATAACCGTAGTAGGTGATGTTGGGGAACGTAGTAATTTCAAAAAAATTCCTACGCACACGCAAGATCATGGTGATGCATAGCAACGAGAGGGGAGAGTGTCGTCTACGTACCCTCGTAGACCGTAAGCGGAAGCGTTATGACAACGTGGTTGATGTAGTCGTGCTTCTTCACGATCGACTGATCCTCAGTACCGAACGTACGGCACCTCCGTGTTCAGCACACGTTCAGCTCGGTGACGTCCCGTGAACTCACGATCCAGTAGAGCTTCCGGGAAGAGCTTCGTCAGCACGACGGCATGGTGACGGTGCTGATGAAGCTACCGGCGCAGGGCTTCGCCTAAGCACTGCTACGATATGACCGAGGTGGATTATGGTGGAGGGGGCACCGCACACGGCTAAGAGATCAATGATCAATTGTTGTGTCTCCAAGGGGTGCCCCCCTCCCCATATATAAAGGAGTGGACGAGAGGGAGGGGGCCGGCCTCCTATGCCCCGCCCCATGAGGAGTCCTACTCCCACCGGGAGTAGGACTCCCCCCTTCCAAGTAGGAGTAGGAGAGGAGAAGGAAGGGAGAGAAGGAAAGGGGGGCACCGCCGCCCTGATAACCCACAAGTATAGGGGATCGCAACAGTTTTCGAGGGTAGAGTATTCAACCCAAATTTATTGATTCGACACAAGGGGAGCCAAAGAATATTCTCAAGCATTAGCAGCTGAGTTGTCAATTCAACCACACCTGGAAACTTAATATCTGCAGCAAAGTGTTTAGTAGAAAAGTAATATTTCTGGTGTTTTATAGTGATGATAACAATAGCAACGGAAAAGTAAATAAGCGAATAACAATATATATGGAAAGCTCATAGGCAATGGATCGGTGATGGAGAATTATGCCGGATGCGGTTCATCATGTAACAGTCATAACCTAGGGTGACAAGGAACTAGCTCCAATTCATCAATGTAATGTAGGCATGTATTCCGAATATAGTCATACGTGCTTATGGAAAAGAACGTGCATGACATCTTTTGTCCTACCCTCCCATGGCAGCGGGGTCCTATTGGAAACTAAGGGATATTAAGGCCTCCTTTTAACAGAGTACCAGACCAAAGCATTAACACATAGTGAATACACGAACTGCTCAAACTACGGTCATCACCGGGAGTGGTCCTGATTATTGTCACTTCGGGGTTGCCGGATCATAACACATAGTAGGTGACTATAGACTTGCAAGATAGGATCAAGTACTCTCATATATTGATGAAAACATAATACATTCAGATCTGAAATCATGGCACTCGGGCCCTAGTGACAAGCATTAAGCATAGCAAAGTCATAGCAACATCAATCTCAGAACATAGTGGATACTAGGGATCAAACCCTAACAAAACTAACTCGATTACATGATCAATCTCATCCAACCCATCACCGTCCAGCAAGCCTACGATGGAATTACTCACGCACGGCGGTGAGCATCATGAAATTGGTGAAGGAGGATGGTTGATGATGACAATGGCGACGGATTCCCCTCTTCGGAGCCCCGAACGGACTCCAGATCCGCCCTCCCGAGAGAGTTTAGGGCTTGGCGGCGGCTCCGTATTGCAAATCGCGATGAATCATTCTCCCTGGGTTTTTTCTCCCCGAAAGTGAATATATGGAGTCAGGGTTGTGGTCGGTGGAGCTTCAGGGGGGCCACGAGGCAGGGGGCGCGCCCCCCACCCTCGTGGACAGGTGGAGGCCCCCTGACGTGGATCTTTCTTCTAGTATTTTTTATATATTCCAAAATAATTCTCCATTATTTTTCAGGT